TTCATTTTCAGTTTCAATTTCTTTTTTATTTTTTACGATTTTCTTAATTTTGTATGGTTCTCTTTTAGTTATAGGTTTTTTTATAATTTTTATTAGTCATCTTATAATCTAGGTCTTGGTTGTATTTTTCTCTTATTTTGGGTTGCTTGGATGTAATTACTATCTTTAGGGGTATTTTAGGTGGTTTCAAAGTTTGGAAAAGTCAAAGGCTATTTTGGAAAGGATATGGACCATATGGTTGAATTTTGGGTATTTTCAATAATTTCTCCTAACTTGGCCAGATCTGGCCTGACGATCCCATCTAGACTTGAGAATAGTCCATTAAGGCTCTAAAATTACATTCGTTTAGATGCATAAACAGGATTATTACCCGAGGAGAGGCCACAATAGGTATAACGTACCCAAAGGCTAGTCACTGCCCGTAATTTTTGACAGGCCAACCATAATAATAATTAAAAAAAAAAGAGATAAGAAGCCAACCAAATTCTTAAAAAATTCTAGTTAATATTGTTTGGTTTCCTTCAATAAAATTTATATTTTCAATTTCATGCCAAAGTTTGACTACAACGTGAAAATCAATACAAGAATTGAACTCGTAGTTTGATAAAACCTATATTTCCATCGACGTCGATTCGAATGCTAGTTTTGAAAATTGAACAAAGAAATATAATATAGAACTATGCTAAAGTTAGTTCACAATTTTTTTCACAGTCCCTTCATATAAGGGTGGGGCCTACATGTGAGTGTATTGTAAAAAAAAACTGTCAACCAACGCTGTACATTCAATTTTATTGTATAATATAACTAGCAACATGCAGAAGAGAGCCTCGTGGTCCACGTTTCTGTCATAAATTAAAGCTTAAACGATTGTTTTCATGACTTTCAAGGAGATTTTAATGAAGTAACGCAAGCTAATAATCAAGGTACAGTGTAATGTGCAATAGAGTCTAAACTCCATCAGTCTCATGGTGCTGGTTTGTTGATGTAAAAGTCTTAACTTTGACAAAACCTTTAGTAGGGCCTGCGTACTAGTTATGAGCGTTTTTTAAAGTACTGATTTTGAGCGCTTATGAACAAACCGGTTTTAAATGATTTTAGTAGCGATTTTTAGAACAGTCAAACCCATAAACGAACCGATTTTGAATGGTTTTAGTAGCGATTTTTAAAACAGTCAAACTCATGCTTAAGAGTTCGTTGTCCACATATTCTGAAAGTTTGTTTAAAAAAGTAAAATTGCATATATGTCTCTTGGTGAAATTTTGAGTTTATGGTTTTGTATGAAGTTTTCAACTTATAAGTAATATTTTATTTATATGTAATTTTTTGAACATATAAGTTAATATTTAACTTAAAAACTTAAATATTTATTTAAAATTTTATGTTAGTATTTCTTATTTATATATAAACTTTATAATTATAAGTTAATTTTGTACTTTTAAATAATTTTTACAAATAAGTGAATTTTTTACTTATAAGTAATTTTTCATATTTTATAAGTGATTTTTAGTCTTATTAGTAAGACTTTTATACAAAAATAATTTTTTATCTTATAAATAATATTTTACTTATTAGTAATTTTTTAATTATAATATATATTTTTTACTTAAAAATAATTTTTTTAGTTAGTATATTTTTATTTATAAGTTAGTATTAAACAAAATATGTTCGTTGGAAATAATTATTCTATAAATAGTAAAATTAGAAGATAATTTGAGAAATGATAAAAAATCGCCAATTTGATTGATTGAAAGAACCGATCAAAATCACATTACACAGATTTTGGGTGGTTAACCATCCAAAATTGGTGCAAAAAAATCTAGCAAGCACCAATTTTTCTAACTCCTCATAAACGATGCTACCCAAAACTAATCAATATAAANATAATATTTTACTTATTAGTAATTTTTTAATTATAATATATATTTTTTACTTAAAAATAATTTTTTTAGTTAGTATATTTTTATTTATAAGTTAGTATTAAACAAAATATGTTCGTTGGAAATAATTATTCTATAAATAGTAAAATTAGAAGATAATTTGAGAAATGATAAAAAATCGCCAATTTGATTGATTGAAAGAACCGATCAAAATCACATTACACAGATTTTGGGTGGTTAACCATCCAAAATTGGTGCAAAAAAATCTAGCAAGCACCAATTTTTCTAACTCCTCATAAACGATGCTACCCAAAACTAATCAATATAAAACTCAGGCCCTTAGCATTAACATACTTTCCCATTCCACCCATAATGCCAAGATGAGATTCCGCAGACCACAATGGCAGTATGGTGGACACCAAACAAGGTAAGACTATCGACATTGCCACTGGCGCACCGCTACTAAACATCACGATGAAAGACATGGTCTGGCTCGTCCCTTGTTTTGAGCTTGCTATGTAGAACTATTCTGCTTTTGCCAACCAGGCCTAATCCTAGATCTTCTCCTTCTGTCAATACATCATCGAATACTGTCATTGTCCCGAACATGAGTTTCTGGAGGGTCGTCCCAGAGGGAAATTGGGCATGGTTCAGGACGGTGAATCCGGGTGTTCCGCCTATGATGTTATTTCCATTGTTTTGGACGACATTTGATGTGAATCCACTAAGGCCAGTTAGGAAGGGTACATTGTTGTTGTTGATGATTCCACCATTGGCATTGTTGGTCGGGAGACAGGAAGGACGGCACCATTAGACAGCCGGGTTGGCTACTATGCCGGTCACTACTATAGCCGAGGTGTTTGAGCTGACAAGTATATCGTGCATGATCAGAAGAAGTTAGACTTAATGCTGAATCAGCAACATTACCCCCAGGGGGCTACACTAGAAACAAGCGCTTCTGGCGGCACAGCTACACTTGGGCGGCTACTTCCTCGCTGAGCAGTCAAGATAAGGTGGTACACGTGATTGTGAGAGCTAGAATGAGTAGAGAGACTATGCCATTGAGGTGAAAATGGATGGACGACGGCACACGGGTTGCCATGAATCACAAATAGAAACTGTTCATGATATACTGTGATGAAAACAGAGAAATTCTTGTGGAATGAAGGCTCGGATGGGGAATGCATACGTATACTGCAAAATCAAAGGGAATGCTGAAAAGAGAGAGGATGGAGTTGATGAGATGATTTGGGTGCAAAAATTTCCAGTCTTGTTTTGGTGCATTAGTTACAGTTCCCCAGTATGTTGAATACATATAAAAATAGGAGCATTTTAGACCTCAATAATATGTAATTCCGCAACAATATCAGAAACGTAAAACATGCACAAGCAAATCAATTTCTAGAACTATACAAGTACTTATGTTTTAGATTTAAATTCAAATTATACCTTATGTTTTGGTATACTTTTGTAGAAACCAAAAATTAAAGATCCCTAGGAACCTTGATATACCTTGACCAAGTTTGGACAATAAAAAAGTTGGAAAATTCTTGTGGTACATTATGGTTGCCATGAATCACAAATAGAAAACTGTTCATGATATACTGTGATGAAAACAGAGAAATTCTTGTGGAATGAAGGCTCGGATGGGAAATGCATACGTATACTGCAAAATCAAATGGAATGCTGAAAAGAGAGAGGATGGAGTTGATGAGATGATTTGGGTGCAAGAATTTCCAGTCTTGTTTTGGTGCATTAGTTACAGTTCCCCAGTACGTTGAATACATATAAAAATAGGAGCATTTTAGACCTCAATAATATGTAATTCCGCAACAATATCAGAAACGTAAAACATGCACAAGCAAATCAATTTCTAGAACTATACAAGTACTTGTGTTTTAGATTTAAATTCAAATTATACCTTATGTTTTGGTATACTTTTGTAGAAACCAAAAATTAAAGATCCCTAGGAACCTTGATATACCTTGACCAAGTTGGGACAATAAAAAAGTTACACTAAGCCTCCACCTGAGTCTAATTCTTCAAAATTCCTATTTTTCCAAACTCATTTTTAACCATAAATTCTCTCGATAAAAAATTTTGCACGTAAATCTAAAAAAATTTCGTACTTTTTAAACACATTCTCCTAAAGAAAACACTTTTTACAAAATATATTCCAAAAAAAAAAAAGGCTCAAACAGGGGCTAAATCAGTTGTTAAAACTAATGACAAGATCTTGAACATAGAAATGTGGTCATGAATTCCAAATTCTATATCATTCTATGATAGCATTTGTGAAGATTTGGAGTTCATTTTAAAATGTCAACTTATTAAGAGGAGTAGCCCAAACTTTTATAAATTAATCTATATTTTCATCTTTATTTGATGTGAAATTTTATCCCTTAATGTGCCCCTTCAAGATGGTAGCTCATTTGAACAAACCAACCTTAAAATCCGCACGCTCATTTTTTTTTAATCTTAATCGGATCGAATTATTCGTTGGAGGTTAATGAACTCTGGTACCATGTAAAGGCTTGAGGTTCCATCTTAAAATGTCAACTTTATTAAGAGTATTAGCCTAAACCCTTATAAATTGGTATATATTTTCATCTTTATTTGATTTGGACTTTTATCCGCATTGACTATCAAAATCATCAACCTAGGCCAAACTTATGATTAGTAACAAAATAGCAACAATACCCCATGACACAACCTATACTGCCTGATCACTTTCTGTCAAGGAGTCAACTAATGTATCTGACATATCTTCATGGGACTCATGGAAATTAAAAACAGATACTTCAATACCATTCACTCTCTTTATTAGGAGATTTTGCCCATTTTTCTTTTTATGAAACTCTGAAATCAAGCATGTTTTATCTCTATAAGAATTAAGAACTGTGGTTTTTGATGTGTTCAAGTAATAGAGAAGGTTTCACAGCTGGGATTTTAAGTGAGGCACGCCTTTCGATTTTTCATTGAAAAAAAATAATAAGAATGGGAGATGCTAAGCTACACCTACTTGTGGCGAACAATTTTTCTACACAACCATCAATAGCGTTCAACCACCAAGTTCGTGTGGTTTCTCTGTGCCTAGGACACTAGAATATTGAACCATAAACAAAGAGCATCTCTCTCTGACTTCCTCGAAGTTAACAAAAAGAGGACAGACAGAGAAACAGTAAACAAAAATTCACAATTAACTAAAATAAATATTAACGATTTTTAAATTTCAGAGTACAAGTCATATTCCTACTAATTTGAAAATCTCAAGTAACCATCAATAATCTCAAGTAATGCCCTGAGTATTACCAGAATTATTAGTAATCAGTTTTCTCTGGACCAAAAAGAGTTCTCTTAGAATGCTTTTGCTTGTAATTAATCTGACAAGTCACCTTATCACAAACTCAGTGGCCTTCCCTGTCGCCTGCAGATAGAAGACAAACAACTCAAATACAATAGTGCTAGGCATAATGATGACACGAAAATTGCTATATCAATTTAGTTTCCCAGCAACATGGGTGGGGTGTGATCGTGGAGGCAATAATGAAGCAAAAGAGAGAGATAAAAAATCAAATAGGTTTAGGGGTGTTGTGGATGTTGTAGCTGCGGCAGAATCATGCACTTATGAACAGCCTATGCACGGTTCATCTCTGTATGGTGCAAAACAACAATATAGACATGCTTGGCTTTGCTTAAAAGAAATATTTTGAGTATGTTACTTTTTTCCTTGAACAAAACAGTTGTTTGTTTTGAACGTAACTCTTACTTTATTGTGAAAATGGTACCTTTTTGTTTCCAACTTTAGGCAAATAAAAGGATAATTTATTTTAAATTTATTTATTTACTTATAAGTAAAGATTTTAAGCTTAGCCAAACAGGTATGCATGCAAAGAAACATACCAGATATGGGTGTTTAAGTATCGACATGCTGCTAGTGTTGGCTACATGGTCTCGGGATAACAAGAGCCTCACATGTGGAATGTTCTTCCAACTCTCTCCAAGTGCTGGCTTGGAAGCACCACCCTCACCAGCCACCATATGATTGGTCACCTAATGCACCAATCATTTACGTTATTTGAAGGAACAAATTAGATAGGTGTTTCAATAAGAAGAAATCAGACTAATCATTTCCTAATGTCTGGAAAAAGAAAATGAGAGAAAATATAAGATTCTTTTGATAGCCTATATGGAGAAGTTTTCATACCCACCAGCCACCAATGAAGAACAAAGTCACTGTGTAGAGGATTAGTTTTGTAGCAGTTTGAGGAAAATGAGAAACTAATACAAAAGAAAATATGAAAATTTCAGCTTATAATTCCTTTCTGAACAACTTGACAACGAGTTTGAGGCAAAACAGAGAAAATAAGTATAAAGTCATATGCCCAATTGTGCCATTACAATTAGAAATTTAGAATCAGAGCTGGTGGCGGGGGCTGGCTACTATCATTAAAACTAAGTCAATGATAATGTAGATGTTAACAATTAAAGAAGGATTTCTTACCATCACTTCAACAACTTGGTGGAAACATATTACAGAATGTCATTAAGTTGATCGGCCTAATATGGTAGAAGGTAATTAACATTCTAAAACTTGAGCAAGTCTTCTAATATAAAAATACAACAGTTTTTTTTCTTAATTTGAATGGCCTGTGGATAATTAAAATCAGTATAATTCAGTGTCAGCTACGCGATGATTCAATTCAAACACTTCTTGTTAGACAAAGCTTTGCTTAGAAGGAAGGCAACCAAAACTAGAGAATAAACAGAGCACAAGATACCATGCAAGAAGACAAATTTCAATTTTTAGAGTGCAAACTTACCATAACAGCAAGATTATTCTCATGTGCTAACTCCTTCAATAAGAACCCAGTAGTAGCCATTAAAGCATGTCCTGTATATTTGACCAAGTACAATCCTCTTAGTTTGTACTTAGCACAGCTGTAAAGCATAGTTTAGACACATGTATAAGTCTAAAGCCTATGAGACAAACAGAATGGTAACGAGCACTGGAAAGCTTCTGTGCATCTGTTCAGTTTTCCTTATCTTCCATGAACTGTCTAAGCTGAAGGCAAACTATAAAAATCTTATCTACTGCTAGTCAAAACAGATTAAACAGACTTTAGCAGTCTATATATTTAGTTTATAAGAAACTTAAGCTATCATATGCAGTCAAAGAAAGAAATTGAAGGACCATTTCTACAAGCAACTGTCAAGACAATAAGGATACAGGTGGTAGTTTTCCTCAACCCCTCTAAAAGCAGTAACAGTGTTGCTATGCTTTACAAAAATAGATAGAATTTCATTTTTATTGGTCCCCAACCAATTGCTTTAGTAGTAAGTTGGTCTCCAACCTCTAAAAAGGATAAGTTTGCCATCAAACTTCCATTATAGTTGCATAATCCGTTCTCAGAGAAGAAAATGTCAAAATCTCCATTAAATCGTCATGTGAGCCTCATATCTTCAACTTTATGGAACTAGATTTTGCTTTATAACTTGGTCAGTGACAAAAAATCATAAGTGAGACTTTTTCTCGTGAGAGTCATGTGAAGATATAACAAAGATTTTGGACGTTCTCCGTTATTAGGGACTCATTGTGCAACTATAATTAAATGTTGACCATCAACTTATAACTCCAGCAATAGGTTGAAGACTGATGTTGCAACGGATAAATTGATACTACTTTTATTCTCACTGCAAGGTAATGTACTGCACCTTTGGATCCATATAAATAGAGTTATACAAATTCTCCAGGTTAAATCAGAATATCTTTATTTGCTCACAAGAATGTATACCATGTGCACCACTGCCTCCGAGAACTGGGCTTACAAGTGATGATATTGAATCAATAATGAGCATCCTAACCTGACAATCGATCTGCGGAGAAATATTTTCTGAAGTAACCATAGAAGCCAACTGCAGATGCTCGCCGAACAGGAAATACAGAGACTAAAGAAATGACCAAAGCTAGGCTTATATTGTATCAATCAAACCTGAGATCTCAAACTATTTTTTAATTGATGAAGCACATCCAGCAGTGTGAAGATGTTGAATATAGAGTGGCATACTATACACTTCATGACCTGTTGAAGAGTTTTGTTTGCCTACAAAAAGCATAAATGAAATTGAACAAAACTTCAGTGATAGAAAATGATGTCCAGTATGCTAGTTGAAAACATGTAGGAGAGCTTTGGAATATGTTTCTACCCTAGAACAGACACAATATTCAGTCAATTAGACGTGTTTGTTGCACCTAAAATTTCAGCACATAAAAAGTAATTTCATGTAATAGTGCCATCCTCATCTTTGTTTTATGATATGTATAGGGATGTATACACGTATATATAACAGTAGGAATTAACAGATTACGTCCCATCATCAAGCTTAAACCAGGAACTTGAACAAAAACTGACAATGCTTAGATCAGTGGAAGCAGGCATCCAAACATGACCTTACAGAACATTCGTTTTCCCCAATTACATGTTTTAAGAGGGAGAGGACCAAAGGAAAGAGGTGGGCTAGAGAAACTTAATTCTGAAATTCTAAATTTGACCTGATTATTAGCAGGATCTGAAATTTGACTGACAAACTCCACAATTCTTTTTGATGAAAAAGAGTTACCAGAGTCGAAGTACATCACTCTGCCTGAATATTTTCTGGCAACATTTGAAGCAGCTTGTAGGCAAACCTACACATTAAAACATTTTAAGAATGAGAATGGAATATTAGTGGGTAAAGATTCATTACTCGTGATTTGATAACTCATTCAAACAAAGATCAT